AAGTTTTAAACAAATAGACGAGGTATTGCAAGTGAAAAGGCTGTTAGTTACGAGCATGTCCTCCACTCCAGGTCCTTTTTCCTGCCATTGCATTTCCCACATATGGGGGATGTTGGAGACAGAAAAGGTGCCACTGTTCAGTGAGACCTTGAACGCATGTCATTTAACTTGCCACGATTTCACGCCGCCTTTAACACATCATTGTTGCCATGCCCAGTCAACAATTTCTTCATTTCACCTCACCCTTGCATGACCACCCACTTTGTGGGAATGCGAATGGGGCAGCATTCGAAATCGCCTGTTTGATGAGAATGTGACGAATACCATTATGTTAAGTACAAAGACTGTTGGTGGTTTCATTGCCACGATATGTTATTGAGGACAGAGGTGGTGAACAGAACAAGTAACTTCATGGCTTGGTAGGAAAGCTCACACAGACCTCGAAATTTTCAGCATAAGTCAGACATGAATAACGGTTGGTGGTTTGCAGAAAGACTATACAATCGCAAAAATCCTACCAACTACCTGTGCGGAATGACTGGTGCAATCATATGAGGGGATGGCTGCTGCTTTCACTGGGTTTCGTTTGTCTTTTTCGAGGGTCACTTTCTTTTCCTGCATACATTGTTGCCAACCCCATTACTACGAGTCCATCACATCCGCTCTACTATCTCCAGTTTGACTGACCGGATGGCACTCTCATCGCACCTCTCTGCAGCCCTACCCGATTACCTTCCTCACGATGGCAACCGACTCCATGTTCTGCCGTCGTAGTGTGTTTAAGCTAATGGGACTGAGCACTGCCCTGCATGCGTGTGATCCCACGTGGTGAGCAAGTCTTCATGAAGCCCCTATCAAAGTCGCAAGCGTTTTGTCAGGCAGTTCTTTGGTAGTGGCAAGGCTGCATCTTCGTTCAGCCAAAAAATCGCTACAAGATTATGACAACAAAACCTCGTGTAAGTAATACATTGTCTTGATAGAGCACACAAATATGATCAAGGTGGAAGGAGTGAAGGTAGGGAGACTTGTCTCAATCTGTTTCCATAATCTGTTGCATGTTTGAGTGCGAGACATCTAGACGGCGATCTTAATTGTCCAGACGTCTGAGTAAGGCAAGCGTTGGGGCATGTGCTTACGGGATTGGTGACTACACTGCTGCATTCATGAGACACTCCTACTCTTGTCTAGTCTTTGTATCCCGACTGACCTTGGTCTTGTAGTAAATACCATCAAAATGTAGTCTATCCATATCAGACTCTAACCAATCCGGGCAAATTAAATGCACCCCTGGCTTTGAAACCTTCTCTAATGCTAGGAAGTGAATAAAAACCGAGGAATGTTTACTGGGGCTGTGGTCAGTGAATATTATCGGCTAAGATGTTAATAAGAATTTTGCTCTCTTTTTAATATATGCTTCATATTTCTGTATTTGTTGAGGCAAGTCAGTAGACAAGAAACAAATAAAGAAGCAGTTATGCTATCCTTTTAGCTCATGCATTACAATAATTTATCCTGGGCATCTGTAAACACGTTGGTAGCATTTGTTTGTCGTATTTGAACTGCACAGACGTCGTTTGCGTCTTACAAACAAAGTGGCATAACATCGACCATCATTTAAGTATGTGGAATGTGTCGTAGAGCCACGAGACCTTTACCAGGGACGAAATAGGACAGGATTCGCCGACAGGATAAGTATTGCCGATGCAGGGCAGGGCTGGTGTTTACTGACATACTGTAGTCAAAGCCCAAAATATTGTTTTTCTTTTGGATACCCAACCGGCTCTATGTAACATAATA